TTTACCAACTGCAAACCAGGATTTTAATAACGGCATTTGCCAGTAATCGAATTGCTGGCCAGCCAGACCGACATTCGTTCCAGTCTTGATTTAAACTGTTTTTGGACTTTTCGTAACATTATCTTCTGGTTTTCTTTTGGAATCGTAAGTGTGCTGTACATTTTAGAAATCGGGTATAATTAAACCATTGAATTTTCCCGAGTTGTGGACCTAAAGCGGACGTTCGAAATGTAGTTTAGATATTCACATTTTTTTAATACAAAATACTTATTAAGTGGCCTTTTACCAGCTCTGGTGGAAACCATACTGCGTAAAGTCAAGCCTACTGAAATATTTCAATTTGAATGTGGCCATTAAATTGATAAATATTTTAGAATGTGTTAAATAAATTGTTAGGCAATGTGCTGTAATTATCAAGTCTGATATAAATTATTATTGTGCCAGCTTTCCGTCTTCACAGCATATTGAAGTAAAGTAAATATTACAATTATTATTATTTAATGGCATTGTGAGATAAACTTCTGACAAACTGGGTGGCGATGATTTTTTAAAAATGCCATAAACAATTATGTGTTTTACAATTAAATTTAATATTATATAAAGAGTGATAAAGCAGCAGGGCCTCATGAGAAGCGGACATTTTTTTAATTCGTCAATCGATGTCAGCAACGAAAATGATATCGAAAGGGTAGACAAATGCATCTGCAGAATAATTGCAACTTTTGACACGACGAGGGTGAGAAAGACGCCAAATAGACGCCTGGAACGCTCGTTACCGCATAACATTCAAATGGAAACGTCAGTGTCACATTCACTAGCTGTTCTCGCCAGACTAATCGTTCTGTTTTCATCTCCCAATATTTGCACATCGAAAAAGAAAAATAAAACAATAATTGTTTATACTTGACATTTTCCGCGTTTGTATTTGAATATTTACGACATTAGATAAAATTAATTATTCGCACAAATACGAGGAATATAAAAGTTCAAATTCATTTACTGATACACACAATACCAAACGGTTTTGGACCATAAAGTTATGGCAAGATTTATCGCAGTTTAATGTATAATGCAATAATTTATTGACAGTTTTTTAACCGGTTCGGACGACACAATGGCAACTGTCAACTCACTTGAGCCATCATCTTTAATGTTCTTTCAAAGGCCACTGACTCACTGCTAATGGCACGTTTTTTCAAAGACAAGCGACACGGCTTTATAGAGCTGAATATTTTTGACAATATTAAGTTGTTACTTTTTTGTAAATTTGTAGTCTTGTGTTTCTCCTTTCGTGTATTTAATTATTTGTTACTAAACACCTTTACTTTAAACCTTAAACTCTGAAGATAATTGGAATATAAGAAGCAAAAAAGTGCTCAGGTCATCTGTAAGCATATTAATAGCAACAGCAGAGATCAAAGCCAAATTTAACTGGAAGGAAATGGAAATTTTAAATAATTGAAAACGCAAACTTAAATCCAGTCAAGGTATTTTACCATTTTAAACTTCCAGCAAACAAGGGGTAATTGAAACAGGAGATAGGGAAATGAAACAGGCAAACTTGACAAACAGGATTTATCATTTTGTCACAAAAATTCATAGCTAACAAGCCGCAGCGCCAAACTTTCCGGCTTTTTCAATTAAAAATGCATGCAAACACTTGCTCATCATTCATGCTTTGCTAAATAACTCTAATTGTTCCATCCAACCAAATCTTTGTTGCCTTTTTTCGTTAACTGCCCCATTCGTCATATATACCCGATTCACGAATTGTATTGTAAACGGAGTAGTTTAAAAATGTTTTGTCCGCAATATTGGGACAGGTTCACACTGAAATCAGCTTTATCAGCCCGAATTAATTAATGCTTATGCAATCAATGTCTCAATTTTTTATTTCATCTAACCTGATTATTTGGCTAGTTTTGTTTCAGCACAGACGAGCTGGATTAGGAAAAGCAAAGAGAACGCCTAATGAAGAGCTCAGGAAATAAAATGAGGTAATTTGACCAAATCTACATATTTACAACACAAAAACAGCAGCTCTAAAAATAATAAGCAGCAAATATAACAATAATTCAAAAACACTTCGATTTTTCGACAGTGCAATCAAGCAGCGCGACAGTTAGTGCAGCCTCGCACCGTTGATTGAAAGAGTGTATACCTACTCTTTCAATCAACGCTCGTACGTTTAGGGGAACATTTGTCACCGTCGCCTTAAAGTGTTTTGTCCTTAAATTTGTGTGTGTTAATTAAGCTAAAGCTGCGATTTTTTGGCGATTTGTGTTTACATCTTTTCTCAACAAAAGACTAAGTATTTTTTTCAAAATCAATTCGTAGGCATAAATTATGGGTTTACCCAATACCCTAGCCTACAAATATTCAGTAGATGCAAGCCAAATATCAATGAAATGCTCGTCCATCTGTCCCTACCAGTTAGGATAGCTGGACCAATATTTAGTAGGACAGACGGATCAGTATTTCATTTTGCTTATTTTTCTAATTTCAGTATTTTAGTCAAGATGCCTTTTGTGTACAGACGGAAAATTACTATAAGAAGAGGCCAGTGGACTTGGAAAATCTCAAAAATGCTGGATTAGCAATAGACAATAACGAATTGGGCATCAACCAGCTGCTAGAACTTTTGAGATTTCCAAATCCACTCTGAAGAGGCGCTTAAAAACCCGTTACTTGAAGAAGCTCTCCATTAGGCCCTGGACCATTACTCGGTGAATAAAATGAAATTAAGCTAGTCTAGTGTATAGTGTTAACATTTGTTAACAACACATGTTATCAATAGCATAGTGTTAACATTTCTTTTTTTAAATATTTAAAACGAAGATTTATGTATTTTCTTTGAAATAAATATATTTCATTACCAAAAATAATAATTTGACAAATTATTTTTAGTTGTATTTTACAGCCAATAATCATTAACCATAGTGGACCACCCCTTATCGGTGGGGGAGATGGACCAAATATTATTTAAATAAACTTTGCATTTGGCAGCATCCCCGCCGGTTTAAGAGAGAAATATCAGGCAAACTGAAAGCATACTACTTTTTCAAGTAACTTCATCAATTTCAGTTGAAAATTTAGGGTTCAGAATTCCTTGATTTCATTAATTTTCCTGTAGTCCCTAAACACCCCCAGAACAATGACGACAATTTTGAAACACCCTGTATAAACGTTCCATTGGCAGCTTATTCAATAAAATTGAGATTTATCAGTTCCTAAGCAACTGATAAAATAGTTCATGTATATTTTGTATGGCGAATTTGGAATCGTTTTGATCTCTGCAAAAGATACATTAATGTTATTCTGTGGCCGGTATAAGATTAGGCGTCTGGTAACATTGTATGGTCTTGTAAAACACTACTTCAAGAAAATAAAACTGCCAAAAAAGAGAACAATGGACTGAGGCCCTGTCAGATTTTGTTGTAAATATACGACGATTTACGAACTTGTATTTAGGCTGACTAAAAAGTTCTGAAAGGCAGAATGAATTAATGACTTCTCAGAGCCAATTTACATATTTATAGATTCCAGAGTGATGTTGCATGTGTCCGAGAACGTGTAACTTTTTTGTGGGTGCTTTTTTTCTCAGTTCACCGTTTGCCCTAAATTCGCATACGTAAAATGGGTTAACAAATTTGAGACACATTTGACAAGGAAGTAAATGGAAATTAAATGGAAGGGAGTTGAATTCTACATGTTGTTGATACAAGGGTGAAAATGCTTATATGGGGTGAAAAGAGCGGTTTTAAAAACGTCAAATCCGGCACATTTTTTACATGAAAAAGGCCATATTATAAGGGCGGAATGGCGCGCTGAGAAAACTTATTTATTCATTTCAATGCAACCGCGAACAGCAGGGAAGGAAAAGTTGTGGAAAAACATAAACGTCAATCATTCTGCTATAGCGTGGCTTCAGGCATTTTATTGGAAGATCTCAGTTAAAAAATCAAGTTAAGTAAACAAATAATTACTTACTAATAAATTGGAAAAGTAAAGAAAATATTAGAAGAAAACAAAAACACTTTTGTCAAATGTCTGTGCCAATTTTCGCCCTTTTTTTAAAGCAAAACAAACGTCATGTTACTGTGGATATTGGAAACAAATACGCGATTGTGATGGTAAAGCGGTAAACAAAATAAATTTCAGTTTAGTAATTATTTATGAGTTTGCCCGTGTCAATTATCGAATGAAAGGTTAACAATATAATTTGTCATCCGGACAAGCATAAATTTATCTTGGCTTTATTCAATGTTTCCTGTAACCTCAAACCGTAATCTGGGTATCAATCGGAACAAAATAACTAAATTACTTTTAGATTTTCACCGAAATAGGGGTCATATTTTTATGATAAATCATTCGACTTATTTAAATATGCATTTGTTGATATTTTAGTGTTTTGATTAAATTGAATGTTGAAAGGCTGAGGTTAACAATATCTGAATGAAATATATTTTAATTGTCCGGCAATAAACATATTAAATTAGCTAGATTGGCCAGATATTTAATATGAAATCAGGGAAAATAAATTATCTAATGTTAATCATAAACACTTCAAGATTTTCCGTATCCCTACCCGAAAAGCGTTAATTTGAACGAAAATAAAAATAACAATCAGAATACGCTTTTCACTTATCAGCGCCTTTTCGCCCCCGGAAAAACTTGCGGGAAATTTATATAAAGCAGCGTCGAGGCACCCTTTCTAATATCTTTGGTAATGTTCATTTTTCGTGGGGTATTTCGATTTAAAAATGCCATGTAATAATAAGACGGGCTGCAGCATCTTTTCAAGTGCTTATGATAATCAACGCGGTTAACACCCATTTATTAATACAGGGAGATTTAATTTTTTCTTTGATATATTGCTCTTCTTTCATTAAATGAATGAATAAAGTGACTTGTTTTAAACGTTTGGTTGACTTTTAATAAATTGAGGACAATCGAATTTCTGGACACATTATTTAAACGAATGGATAAATGAAACTCACTTCGAAATCCTCTTCCATCATCATGCATTCCGGGAGAATCGGTGTCGGTAGTTCGCGACTGATGTTCTCCATCTTCAGACATTTGAGTATCCAAACTTTCCTCTTTGACAGAGGCATTTTGCGGTTGAGGTGACAACGACGTGCTAGCTGGTGAGCACGAGTCAGTGCCCCTCGGACTCGGGCCCAAAATTCGATCATCCGACGGGGAAAATATTCCTAAAAGTTTATTAAATTTACTTCAGTTTCATATTTTTAAAGACCAGTGAGAACTGGATATTTTGCAATAATTAACCAAAGTTGTTTACGGTAAATGACCCAAATTGAATAAGGGTTTTAAATAGTAGGAAACGGACAACGTAGTAGCCGAAAATTTTGTTTAGTTTTAGATCTAAATAATGTTTTTCTTTGCCCGTAGTAAGACAGTGGATAATGTTGAAGAGTGTTCACGAAATCAGTTGTGATCTTCTACAACCTTCGTGCAAAGTTAACGCAAATTGGTAAAAGAATGTCCAAATCTAGGCTCCCTTGCACAATTTGTTTCCAACTCAGAGAGAATTATAACAATTTTAGAGGTGAGATAGAGAGTTCGATAGTTAGTTTGATAGTATATTGAATTCGAAACGTGAGCCATTGAAAGAAATGGACATACTTTCAAAAATTTATAAAACCAAACGAACGTTTTTTTAAGTTTTTTAGCTCGATTTGCTTAAATTTTATCAAATGTTTAAATTATGATAATTAAACGATCAACCGAAAACAAAGACCCGTGATTTAAAATTCAATAGCATGAAATAATTGACTTACCATGGCTGTGTCCTCCGTGCATACCTTCATTTGCAGTTTCAATTTTCAAGCATTTAGGAGGTGCAAAAGCAGATGGTGAAGGAAATGATTTGAGATCGGCCAGGGGTCGAAACGCCCCTGAACCCAATGATAAGCCAGGATGTAGGAATTGAGGTTGCAAATGGTTTAGAATGTGCGCTGGAATTCCACTATAAGCTTCCATGTGCCTTAGACCAAAAGGGGTAGCTGAGAATGGCCTATGCAGTTCTTTTTGAGCCTCGGACATCACAAACTGAAAAACCACACATATTACTAACAAGATCGGAAAATTGCCATTTGGGTTTAAACATTTGATGATGTTTCAAATCAAACTAGACTGGCTAAATTTCGATTTCAGTCTTAATGGTCAGAGTCGGACTCTGCGATTTTTACCGACCTTATGTAAAATAGTTAAACACATGCACTACTTATTTGTTAAATTTGGCAATTGACAACAAATACAAAAAGTTAGGGTCTCGCGGCCATGGCTTGAAACTCTGAAGATGTAAGCCACTTTCGCATGCAAAACGTTCGGAAGACGTTCTTCATCACCAGGGCCCGCAGGCCCGAAGAACACGCCAGCTTCAAGGTGCGTGACGTTGTTAATTAAGTATGTTTAAAGCTGTCAATGACTGTTTTATCAGAGAATAGTAGAACAGACTTATCTCTGGTTTTATTAAATAGTAAATATTATCAGGACCAGTTTCGACATTTTCTGCAAGGAATCACACTGGAAGTAAATATTTTAACCTAATGTCTACAAAACGTTGCCAAGTACAGAAAATTGTTAAAATCGTTAAAATATTTTCTCTGTCAATCGTTATTTTGTTATAATGTTTATGATGACGTTACAACGTTTTTACGATTCTTAAACAATTGTATTATTTCTAACGGCAAATGGGAGAAAATCCAAGCATTGCTGCAATTGAACCAAATTTCATTTTAAACCTTCACACTTGACCCAATAGCTGTTTTGATTATTCATTACAATCAGTTCATTCAAATTATGTTTGTGATTGTCTGAAACAAATAAACTACCTATCTATGGAAACAATAATGCAAGAAAACTGGTGTTAAAACATTCAATTACATATTTCGCATATTGCTCAACTGACACCAATATAACAGTGGCAAATTATAAGAAAATCAAATTTAAAATCCTTGAGGAATTATTTTTGTAATTTTTGTCATACTTGACAATTTTACTGAAAGTTTCAGATTCAGTATAAATTTGAAAAAAAATCAGCAAAATGTCAATCAAACCAAATTTTCCATAATTATTCTCCAACAAATAACAGAGCTCCTGCATTAGATGAGGAAAACGTTTATCTGATATAAAACAAAAAATATATTCGACAGGCAGTTCTCTATTCAACTGTACCGCATGTCTATTTTTTTAAATTTCCTACAATACTTTAAATGTACTGTTCGGTCGCTCTTCAATTACTAAAATGCAGAGTTTAAAATTTACTTACCTGAGGATTAAATGGTCTTTGAATTCGAAGCGCATCTTGCAAACCGCCGGCGGCTTGCGAAAAAACAACCAAAGCTGGTGAGTTTAAGTGTCCCGAGTTGGGAACATACGCGGAATTCTCCATGGCTAGAAAAGGAAAATATTCCATGAGTATTAACTCTTTCGCTCAAGAAAATTTAAAAAATTAAATCGTGAGCAATTAAGGCCAAATTAAACGACACAACATGTTAAAACACTAAAAGCCAGGTAAATCAATTGGGTAAAGCACTTGGTTGACACTGAAATTCACAACACAAGCGAAAAACAATTACCTGGCGCTTTAAGCTTAAACTTTGGAAACCGAATTTGCGTATGAAACGAAAAGTTAAGCTGCGTTTCTCGACATTTCACTCAACATCGCGATTCCAACTGACAGAAAATGTGCCCCACTCTGGAAGAGCACGTTGTTGAGCTTTTCTCTGAGTTGAAAGCTCGCGCAACATGTGAAATAATGGGCACCTCCTACCCAACCAAACGAGATAGGAGGATCTTTGGCTGAAAACCTATAATCATGTCATTAATTTTGTTGTTTTACATTTATTTTTTCTCTCACCTGCTCTTCTTTCACGACCGCTGAAAAAACTGCTCAGCAATCGGCATGTTGAAACGGTATTAATCACTTTGCTGCTTGTTTTTTCTACTTAAAAACCTAAGTTATTATTTTAAGACGTTGAAAATTGAAACGCGTGACTGTATCTATGTGCTAAGCCAGGCTTTTACATACTTAGTGTATTTGCTCGGACGTTGGCTATTTCTGCACAGTTAATTAAGATATTTTCTCTTCTAGAATTGGGTAACTAATAGGAATTAGACGATTCAACTGCAATGTCACCAATATGTAAACTTTGCATTTATTGAATTGATTCAGCGAGACACTCAGCTGACAAAAACTTAGTGCATTATCATAACACAGAACAAGAATTTTTTATATCTTTTAGTACTGTCCGAAGAGGTAAACGTTAGAGTATAAGGAACGTTTCTGTCGCCAGTAATGTTGTACGTTGTACGAAACGTTTCCAGTTACCGCTGTGACATATTAATACTAAAAATACCCAAAATACTACTGTATTATTGTTTGAAGTATTTATTCATATATAAATACAAAACCAGTTGGCGGTAGCACTTTAGATTCAGTGCACCTTCAGTACAAGAAAACCAGCAATAATATAGTTTTAATAGTACGGAAGATCAATAGCATTATACAGTGCCCGGGTAAATAATCAGACTCCTCGTTTATTTTTTGAACCTTAATTAGCTATTGCTGCAAAATTTGGGCACCTTAAAAATCTTTTATCAATAAAATTACTGCTGAAAAAGTAAAAGTTACAATTTGCTTCGTTTATTTTTCCTAATGGAATGGGTGGTCGAGTGACACCTTGTTTTAAAGGTCTGTTCATTCATCAACTTCTTCGTTCAAAATGGTAAAGTCGATGTGTGAATTCATTTGAGCTGTAACATTTGAGAATAAAAATTGTTATTCTCTCTCTAAGATCTTCAATTGAATCAGGTTTTCTTATATAAACTTGACTCTTGAGAGATCAACAAAGAAAAAAGTTTACTGGGGAAAGATCTGGTGTCAGTGCCGGCCTTTCGACTGTCCTCCGCCGTCCAATCCACCTAGAAACATTAGAAAATACTGTTTTCGCCATTCCCTAACTGCGTTTGAATAATGAGGGGGTACACCTTCCTGTTGGAAAACTATGTCACTGTGAAATTCGCCCGGATTTTCTCTGGCGATTCTTTGCATCTCCGGATAAATCTGGTTTTGGAACATATGTAGATAAAGTTCATTGGTAAGATTCTGATCAATAAATATGGGACCGACAAAATGATTTCCAAGTATGCCAGCCCAAACATTTGTTTCATGTGGAAATTGTGTATGGGTCTTTCGAAATACGTGTGGGTCTACATCTGACCGACCACGTACAGAGTGTTACCTCGTAAGTTGCACCCCCCTAGATAGTTTAATACAAAAAAATTGTAAAAGTGACCTATACAAAAGTTGATTAGTTTTACTCATTTTTTTAAAATTTGAATTCAAAATAAAAATATGAAACACGAAAATGTCAAAATGACGAAAAGCCTTTTTTATGAAACACCCTATATATGTTTAGACCTACCAATAAGGTTTTTTCCTGATTTCAAAAATACATATTTTGCCTATTTTTATATTAGCCGTTTTTTCTATATTACGTTTCAAAAATTATAAATAGCAACAAATCAAAGTAGGCTTGAAATGTGACAAAACAAAAAAGTAGTGTTTGCCATGAATGCCATTGTGCAGTACTCGACTGAAATTCGAATCGCTTTTCACAATATACTGCAAATATACCTTTTTACGAGGACGAATGTGATATTCTATAAGAATAATGAAAATTCATCGGCCGCCAGAAGTGACTATCAGAAGAATATAGGTAAGTAATTCAACGTATCTCCAGAGACGTGTCCCATCTCTAAACACATTTAAGAATGTAGAAAACCGATTCACAGAAAGGAAAATCATAAGAAGGAAAAGTAGATCAAAATTTCTCAATGAAGATGAAGAATTAAATGTCTTACAACATTTTCAAGGTAATATACGTTATTTACTAAGCAGTCCACTGCTATTTTTAAAAAACAACAAACATGAAGTAGCAAATTGTCATTTTAGGAAATCTAAATAGCTCTCTGGGTTGCAAAACAAGAACTAAATTCTTCCGCCAAGAAAATCCAATCGGCTCTAAAAAAATATAAATATTTTCCGTTCAAAATTTTACCAGTGCAAAAACTAACCGATGAGCAAAAAATCGAAGAAGAGTCTATTTCCAAGCAATAATAGATTGATTCCAACAACACAATGCTGTTTTCAAAAATATATTATGGTCCGATGAGAGCAGTTTTACAACTGCAGAAATTTTTAACAGAAAAAATACTAGACTTTGGTCCCGCTGAAATCGAAGATAAATTAGAGAAATTATAACTTAAGGTCGAACTTCTTTACATGTCTGCTGTGGTATACTGCGGAACAAAGTCGAAGGACCATTTTTCTATTGCGCACCTGTGACAGGAGTTACGTGTTTTAATTTAATAACTACCAGCGTTCAAGACTGGATGTCCTACTATTGCGGCAGCATCAAGAGATTATCTGGCATCAAGATGGCGCTCCACCCATATCATTCGCCCGGTATCAGTTTTTTTTAAATGAAAATTTTGATATCTGTATTGGACGAGCGGGTCCTATCCAATGGCCTGCAAATAGCCTCGACCTAACGCCTCTTGATTCTTTTCTCTGGGGATATTTAAAGAATATTGTGTATGAAACTCTTAGACGCCTTAAACTAGTCGGTGCAACTAACGATATTATATAATATTAATCATAACCAATATATATATTTTGATGATAATATTAATCATTTTATTAATAATACATAATAATTACTTTTTTTAATAATACATTAATAATACATAATTTAACGTTTTGAATACAAAACGTTATAGTGAAAATTGAAATAGATTATACAGCATGTCTAGCGTTAAACGGAGGTCATATACAAAATCCGTGATTTTAATTATTTTGTTTTTATTTACTTATTTGTGTTCAAATTTATAGTAGCCATAAATCCCTTWATGTTCTGTTTGATACTTTTTTGTTTCATTTTAATTTGTTGCTATTTAAAAATTTTAAGACATAATATGTACAGAAGAAAGACGGCTAATACTAGATAATGAGAAATAATTTTGACATTTTCGTGTTTTGTATTTTTATTTTAAATTCAGATTAAAAAAAATTGAGAAAAATTAAACAACTATTGCGTTGGTCACATTCACATTTTTTTTTTAAATAAACGATCCAGGGGGTGTCAACTTATGAGGAAACAACCTGTACATTCTGTACGTTCACACCTTGGACAGGAGGAAACATAAAAATACCTGCTGAAAAGTGAAAAGTCAAAGTGGCAGTCTTACACCGTCTCTCTTATTTTTCCTTATTAAATGGGTGGTAGAATGACACGTTGTTTTGTTGTTCTAATCATCCTCCAGTCAACCTTAAATTCACAGATAATTTTTCCAGTTGTTTCCGAATGGCATTCAATGTATGATCAGTTGCTGCTTGATTCATATCCGTATGGACACATAGCCGGCGCGTGTAGAGGACCTCAAAATAAGTCAAATTTCCATTTAAGTTTTTTTTCTCAGGCCCATGGTTAACGAGATCCAGGGTGTTAAAGTTAAAAAAAATATTGATATTTTATGTTTAACTCTTACAGTTTGTTGATGTTTAACTCTTACAACCTTTACCCGTAGGTAATCCAACTGGGGGTGAAAATCTACAAGGTTTTTTTTCTAGATGCATACCCTTCTTTTACCCCCTGAACTATTTTGTGGTGCTCCATTGACTTGTACCGCACAACGTTTTGAATTTGTTGTTCAATTCAAGATTTTTTTTATCCCTTGTAGTTTTTCGTATTTGCTTTCGGTTTCGAGTTACTTGCACAAACGTAAGTCCATGTAGGATTTCTAGGTGATTTTCTGAACATTTTTTCATATATGATGTCCGGCAAAGCCGAACAAAATTTAGATTAATCTTTTTGTGTCCTTTTGCTCACATATTTTGTGCCACACTTGTAAAAGTACAAGCTGAAGTTAGAAAGGGATGGCTGACGAGTTAACTTTAGGTAACCCTGATTATTAGCCGTTCCGATATCGCATCTCGCATATAAAGAGTATGCAAACTAATCCAATAATGGGTATAGTCAAAAACCGTACCATTTCGGGCTTATCACCGAAAAGTTACCTAAAGTATTACAATAATCCATAATAATTTATGTAAACTGTTAAAGAAAGGCTAAACCATAAATTTTTCATTGAAATTGAAAATTGAATTTTCAAGTTTCCAGTTCTGACTCACACGGCTGTTTAAGATTTATCGGACATTTGTTTGCTCTAATTTGTATCTAAATTTTAGATTTATAATTTATTCTATTTTTATGTATTGTCGCGCCATCTAGCTTAAAACACGTTGTTTAGTTCTCTGGAACTGCTTTGTCGTGCGCATGACGCAAGGGCGGAAGTGACAAAAGGCGAGACGGCGTAGAGCGACAGACCGTATGTATTCATGATATTATCGTGATCGTAATCGTTCAGTACCGTAAGCTAATCTTTGTTCCACTTACAATAAACTTATATAAACAAAAATGGTGGTCCTTCAAACCTCAACCTATTCAACGGCCGTATTTAAAAAAAAAACATAGGGGTGAGACTTATAATTTTTTTTTATCATTTTAGTCGGATCATGGTGTTATTCGTCAATGCTGATTGCGCTATGGGTTTGTCTACATTTATTTAAATCCGCCCATTTTCTGCAAAACCTACATTGTCCACTAAATAATCGAAATATCCTATGTCTGGTGGGAGGCCACCAACCAGAATCTTCTAATTCAAACGTTAAAAAATATTTCACCGTAACTATAGAATTTTCATGCAATATGTTGCCATTGGAATCGATGTAGTCAGTGATGCCAGATCTAAAAAATTGAAAACCCCAGAGAGCCACCTAAAAAATCTCTAGTTTTCTCTAGATTTTGAAAAAAAATTAAACTAAATTTTTGTATAAAAAATGATCAGTGAAATGATGTTCAATCAAAAAAGATTATTGGATAACGGTATAGAGAAAACTAGAGATTTTTTAGGTGGCCCTCTGGGGTTTTCCGTTATATATATAGCCGTAATATTACGTGGTAAATGTTTATACAAGTATAAAAACTTAAAAAAATTGAACTTATTATTTTTCTTCAATTTTTAATATTCATTATTATTCTAATTAAAACTTTAAAGACATTTTTTACTTACATAAATTTGAAGATTTCATTAAGCTTAAGTTAGTTAAGGTCCTTTACTCTGAATAACGTGCAATATTTTGAATTAGAATTATTTTGGTTTGAGCGTATTTGGCATATAGCGTTCAAAGCCTCATTGCTTAACTTATGGCGTTTTTTGTTTTAACATGAGTGGCAATCGAATAAACCCTTTCGGTTTCTGCGTTGCGATTCGGTAGAAACATTCACAAATTGGCCAATTTTGCAATATTTAAAAACTTTTGTCCAAAAAATTTCGGTATTTGCCCAAGTTAAACCAAAATTCCTCAATTGTATCTTCAACAAACTTTTCTTTTTGAACAGTAGCTTCACTACATTAAATTGCAATTTTCTTTCACTCGATGTCATTCTTAGAACCATCAAAGTTATCTAGTGCAATAAATTGAATACAATTCCAGATGCGTTCAAGTTAGCTGAAATTATCTGCTTTGCTTAGGGATAATGCCAATTCTGAATTTTAAAATGTAATCCTTCAAAGAACGGACCAGCCAGTGAGAAGAAATATTTCCTGTATTTCTGATGCAGCAGTTGTTAAAATTTCTAAACGAGATTTTCGAATTGAATTCTGAACTTCTTCCGATAAATTAACAAGAAATGAATTACATTCGGGCCCTAAATCGATAGAATTTAAATGCAAGGTGTATTTTGCATCGCTTGTCGAATTCGCTGAAATGTGTGTACAATTATTTATATATTTAAATATTAATCGCCATGAGAAATATAATTCATGGACTAACACTTTTTCTGATTGAAATAGCATATTAAAAGTATTAAAAAGTTTAAGTAGTAGTAGTTGAGAAATAAAATTATTGATTTGGTGATGTCTATTTTTTTGTTTAGATCTGTCTATGATTTAACTGTTCTCAGACAGAATGTACCAATTTAGAATTTAGTATCAGTTATACAAGTCGAAAGTAAATTTTTGATAATATAACGCTTGAATTATCGGAAAGAAACCCTACAACATTGTTAACAGGAATATGTTTCGTTTCTAAACAATTTTTGAACGCACTCAACAAAATTTTCGCATTGCAATTTTTAGCATCAATAGTTATTACTTCTAGATAAAAATCCCTAGAACTGGGGAAAAATTCCCTAGTAAGGCATCACTGGGTAGTGTATGAAAGGTACCTATACATAGTTTAGAAAAACAGAATTTGCTTCCTCTGTTTGCTTCTATCATCTAGACCGGAGATGAGCAACACGCAGTTCGCGGGCCGCTTTCGGCCTGTTAAACATGTTTATTCGGCCCGCCAAGCATTTCTTAAATTTAATTGATTTTAAACCGAAACAATTTTTGTGACGAGTTACTCACTTGTTGGCGACTTGTTCAAGCATACAAAACAAATGCGCCGCGTCTGCACGATTTTTTGTGACGAGATACTTAATTGTCGGCGACATCTGCAGAATAATGTGTCTCACTTTCCACATTTAGAAAACGAAAACGTTACGACCTCTCAAAAATATGAACAATAAATACATATTTTAATAAACGAATTTCAATTACGACTCCAAATGTTCAAAGCTTAGAAGACAGCGGTTTCCATGAAAATGTTTTGCTCGCCATTTAATATCGATGTGGATACAGTTTCCGAAGACTTTCTAATGGAAGTGATTGACAAGCAGAATAATATCGATTTAAAAATATATTTCTCTCAGTAAACATCGAAAATTTTTATGAGTCTGATGAGAACCCTGAGAAATTTTCGGTTTTGAGCAAAAATGCAAAGCAAAAGATGTCTTTGTTTGGAAGTACGTAGTTTGCGATCAATTATTTTCAACCGTGAAATTAATCAAAAGGGATCACCGACCAAGACTGGGTAATGTACGATTAGAAAGCTGCGTACTCGTGCAGCTAGCTACCTCATCAATTCCGGCTAATATTGATCAGCTTATATCGAAAACAGTGCCAAATTTATCACTATAAATTTCAACTAAATTCGGTTTTTGGCTCCTTTCTTGTTTGTTTTTATTTTGAATTAAAATTTGTAGATATATGAAATCTTTACTTTTTTAAATTCTTTATTCTAATGTTTATTATAAATAAAGATTGGAAAATTATTAATACGTGTTACTTTATGTACGGCCCGCCAAAAAAAAATTAAAATTTATATTGGCCCGTTGATTAAAAGGTTGCTCACCCCTGATCTAAACACTCAGCTCATGCCATCTACTAGCATTCCCTAAAAATCGATAGTTTGTCCTATTGAAAGGAACTCTGGGATTATTCAGCTGTATTGATTTTCAGATCCTTATACTGACCACGAAAGATATAAGAGCCGTTTCACAGGGGCCACCCTGCAGCGCTTCTCAGTGGCGCTGCTGAGAAGCGCGTTTTGAAGATACATTGATTTATGTGGAGCTATTCAAGCGGGCGCGACCACTGATTTAGCAACGCTCCTGTGACGTTTAGTGGTTGACTAACGCCGAGAAGCGCTTCAAAAAGAAGCGCCACTAATAGCGATACATTAGAGCGCCACTGAGAAGCGCTGCAGAGTGGCTCGTACAATGTTAACGCGCGCTTCTCAGCAGCGCCACTGAGAAGCGCTGCAGAGTGGCTCATGTGAAAACGCTCTAAGAGCCCTCGCTTAGCAATGCGTCATACTTCTGCTGATTACATAATGGAGAAGCTACACACTGTGCATTAATGATTAAATTATTGATTAGCGAGTGCCCGCGCCATCCAGTCAGAAAAAAATTAGAAGCAATATGAAACCACAGTACATCCCACTGTGGGGTAGTGGGGAATGTTCTGTGTGTGAGGCGAATGCGTCTCTTTCGCATTGATGTATGGTACAAACGGGCCAATTACTGTAACTAGAACATATTTTTTAACTACGATGCTTAAATTAAGGTAGCAATTTGGTCAGGTAAGTATTTTTTAATACAATCGTATCAGATAATGATGTTCTAAGGCCACCTGATGGCGCTCTCTAGCGGAACTTTATATCGTATTGATAAAACGTTGAAGATATTTTCAGCCAACCAACGATCCGTCAGAACGTGTCTAATTAGTCTGATTACTCGAGGTCCCCCACCAATCCACTTAAGTGTATTTATTTTTCGGTTTTGCAGAATTAACAATATTTTACCAAAAATTGTAACTCGTGAAACTATAGAGTCCGCCCCATATACTTAAATGCTTTGTCCCTTAGAGAAGTGTGCTGGAAATAAGTGGACACAATTCAGTTTTCTCGCTCAATTTTCCATTTTTTTCATATGAAGTAAGTACAACATTCAAAAATAATAAAAACGTTGCAATTAGGTTCAACATTTAAGTTTTCGTGGCTTCAAGCTTCCTAAAACACCAAATGAACAATATCTACGGTTTTGGAATTTTGCTATTAACTCTAACTACCAGTTATGTGGGAGCAGAGCCTATTGGGAAAATTCAGACTGAAAAAGCCCATAAATTAAAGCTACCACCCTGTAGGGCATGTAAAATATTTGTGGACTCCTTTCACAAGGTATACATTTCCTTCATCTCTTCTTCAAGTCCATTGTTATTGATACAAGTCAATTATTTTAGGGAATGGAAAGAACTGCGAAGTTCAAGTTCGAAGGGGGCGATGCTGCCTGGGAAGAAAAAAATTTGGGCAGTTATGCAAACAGTGAAGTTAGATTTGTGGAAGTCCAAGAGAAACTGTGCTCTGAAGTTGTCGAAGGAAAAGATCAGTGCTACCAATTAATTGAGGAATATGAAGAGGTATAAAATAATAGTGTTACTTTTAAACCTCTATCTAAAAATCTTCAAGCAAAAATTATTTTTCAGACTCTGGAAGCATGGTGGAAAGACAAGCAAAAAGAAGAACCCGATCTAGCAAAATATATCTGCATCGATAAATTTAAAGTTTGTTGTCCGGAGAAACACTTTGGGAAAGATTGCACGCCTTGTCAAGGATATCCAGACCAAATTTGCAACAAAAATGGCAAATGTAAAGGCTCAGGAACAAGGAAAGGGAACGGCAAGTGCCTTTGTGATGCTGGTTATTCAGGAGATTACTGCGATTCGTGTGCTGACGGCTTCTATGAATCTTACAAAGATGAAAATAAAATACTCTGTTCCCCTTGCCACCCTTCATGTGACGGCAAATGTTCCAAAGAAGGCCCAACTGGCTGCAAATCTTGTAAAAATGGATATTTATCAAGTAAAGATCGAGGTTGCACAGATGTTAATGAGTGTTTGATGGGGCACAAGTGCAACCCAACTCAATTCTGTGTTAATTCAGCGGGAAGTTACAGTTGCTTGGATTGTCACCCATCTTGTGTTGGATGCAGTGGAGATAGTCCTGAGGAGTGTATTGAATGTGCACCTGGGTATAGGAAGATGGACACAATATGTGTTGGTAAGTAATAACAATTGCGAAAATGAAATACTTGCTAAAGCAAGCATTATTTCAGATGAAAATGAAGAAGCAAGGAAGCAACAAATTTCCTTTGCAAGATATCTCACTTATTTTGGCTTGTGCGTTAGCACATGCATAATTCTTCAAAAGAACGTGTCGATAGCAGCTGTTTTAGGAGTTTGCGTTGGAATTTATATCACATTGTCTGAATATTTTGCTTTTTCATCTGATTTTCCGAAAGACGACTTGAAAGAGCAACTATCTGGTAAACTCAAACAGGCCTTTGGGACCCAATAGAACCCAATAATTTCTACAATTGTGTTAATAATGGGAAGATATGCTTCTATATCCAGTGTGGGTTCCAGAATGTAATATAATTTTATTTATCTTACCGTATGCCCTTTCTAAAAAAAATTGTTTTGAATGGAATTAAAAAACTAGTTAATTACGACTCCAGTCGCTTAAAAATGTATTCAATACGTTTTAAACTTTGAGCGATCTACATGTACCTACTTGCAGTAATATTTGTTTAATTTATTGGTTTGTTCCCTGATAATGTGATATATTGTGTATTTTGTTGAATAAATAGTTGTTCTTAGCAAGTTTTTCAAGTGCAGCGGACAAAACCAACCGTAAGGATGACTCATGTCTTAAGATTTCGAAAGTTAACACTTATCTCTCACTCAATCGAGTTTTATTAAATATGTAACCCTTAATGCAGTTGGCCATTTTTTTGTTGATTGCGAGTACTATCCATATACAAGGTGTCCCGTAAGCTCATGATCAAAAAGGCACTGATATATTCTTTGCCTCATAGACCTGACTTGTTACGAAAAAATGTCCGGCTCCTCTACTATTAATGCTTCAGTTATTAAAAAAACATGTCTTTTTAAATTTATGGACAATGGTACGATGGATTTGAATAAAACTCTCTGTTAATTTGTTCCTATGTAAGATCCCATTTGGGCACGTGAGGGATTCTTGAGTGTCGTGCTACAAAAACCCAACAACTTTTTTTGAGTTGATGCACTGATCCTTTTTGAAAATTTTTTCGGCTCTTTGTAAAATATTGAGGCATTCATAGTTTTTACGCAAAATTCAAGTTTCCACGCAGCAGGCGGACACTGTTATATGCCTCCACTGCGCGGGGATATGTAAGCGAGTGTAATCTGCAAAAACGCCTTCGGGCCTCAAAAACAAACTTCTGCCATCGATGCGGCCTGGTGTGTACGGAACTTGCAAATCTACAGTTAAGAACTTGGAGTGGGCGCCATTACAGGAGTTCCTCACATGAAAAACAGTATCGGCATACGAGAAAGCAGAACCCAACCCAACCAGGAGCTAGGAAACGTACCCTGATATGAACCTGGTTGAAGCTGAAGATTTGGACTCTAAGCAAAAAAGACCCAGACAACTGCCGCTTTATCAGAACAGCCAGATAAAAGCCGCACAAGCTGTAAGAGTGTTAACTTAAGCATTGAGACTAGCAGAGTGTTTATAATGGTGTTAACTACATGCTTCAATATGGCCCAAAAACGGATGTTTTTATTTAGTCAAAAAAATCCCCCACTGCCCCTGTGTCTTTGTGGAGATTTCATCTTCTTCAAAGAAAAAGTGCAAAATAATGAGCAACTGTGATTCTGTATATGTTGTAGTGTCCAGATCCAATCCATTCCTAATCAAGTGTTTCTTTTGGACTTGGATGCGCTGCAGACTTGCACATTCAAGCAGCTTCAGGAATCTATCTTTCGATGGAGCGACCATCACAGGTGACCATAGATTATCGAACTATTGGGAGTGACTGACGTCAGAGAGATCTACATATAATTTTGGTTATGTTTGCTGATGTTTTTTCTGCAGATGTTTAAAGACAGTGCCGTTTGCTTGTTAGTAAATGTTTTGTTGAGTTAAGTTTTTTGTGTAAAGGTCAAAGAAAATGGGAGACAACGAACCGAAGTGAGTCCCAATATAAGATTTAGGTACATATCAATATTTACATTACTTTCAATTTTTTTGTAGATCGCCTGAGACCAGGATTAGTCCGAAGCCTATTTCACGAAAAGTAAGTATTTTTTGCAAAAATCAATTTGGTTTGTATTAGAGCAAAGATTATTTAGATAATGTCATAAATTATACCTAAAAGCAGCTCCACATTTTTTTAAATGCTCTACTAAAAGTCCTACTGCTTCATATTTTTCTTAATTACATAAAAATCGATCCATAGTTATCCTTTATGGGTCATAAATAGTTGTCTTCATCTATGGGTCATAAGTCATAAGACCCTGAGACGATCTCATACATGATTGCATTAGCAGTTAAGCATGCGTAATACAGCAGTTTAAGATTCAGTTATACAGGGTGGGTCATACTTCAGTGGCAAAACGTCACCACCAAAATGCCTACTGTTACTGATAAGTTATATATTGTTGAGGCGGATTTTTTGATTTTTGATCAATATTGTATTGATATTAAGATAATAAATTATATTGAACGAGCAACTATGTGGTAAACTCAAACAGACAAGCGGATAGCCCCAGCACACGACATAATGGTCCCGTTGACGTATCATGACTGGCAACCAATCAGCAATAAGATTGTATTTGGTGCTCCTGAAAAAAGGCTGTTCTGTACTTGGCACGTAGATAGAACCTGGAGAAAAAATGTGACTAAAATTTGTGGAAAAGAGAATCAAATTCAGACGTATAAAACACTGCGTGCAGTTTTAGAAGAAATTGATAGAAATGCCTTTAATTTTATGATCAAGTCAGCCATTTCTCACTTATTAGGAGATTCTGCGACAAAGCCATTTGGGTAATATTTTCAAAAGGAATATCTAACATCTACTGAGTCATGAGGTTATTGTTACAGGTTACATTCAGGTTTGAATACAAATACCTATGGATTTGGAACGGATGCATAGAACCCTCAAATACATTTATTTCCATAAGAAAAATAATAAAAGACTAGATACAATGCTGTCTGTATTAATTAAATTTGAATTAAAATTGTATTAATTAAATTAAATTTATTCCTAACCAAGAAGGCCGCCAAAAAATTGCGCCCTCTTTAATTACTAATTGAGTATTCATTGTTATATTAAATACAGGGTGTTTCTGAATAAAATGTTCAAAGTTGAGATTCCATTGACCATGATGCATAATCAGATTGATAATTTTACTTTTAACCACAGCATGCGCACATAAGTACTCAATATTATACCGAATTTAATTACATTAGTTTTTTTGTTATTTATTGAATTTACTATTATGCATTACGCTTTACCACTATGCTCTATCGGAATATCCTACATTTTGTAATGGATTACTTGTTGGACACAAGAAGTACGGCGGATTCATATTAACTGTTTATTAATAAAACTTTCTGAAGACTTTTCTGAGTTACGAGTGTTATCTAAAATGTAGGTACTTATTTCTGAAACACCTTGTATAATAATTATTAATATTAATGCAAATTTTCGTTTTTATATAGATACGTAATCCAAGTAATTATTTTTTACGTGGACGTATTTAAGCCAATGTTGTCGCCAAGCCATCTGTTGAATTTTAAAAGTGGTTACGCTAGATTTTATTATTTAATTTTTGTTATTGTTGGACTTAAATATTGCAGTAAAAATTGACATTATAAAGATTAGATATACATACTCAGTATTTCTTTCCACAAAAAATTTACCACAAATATGTAAAACTGTTGAATAAGAAATCAATGTTCTGATGGAAATCTGATTTTAGTTTCGTTTAAAATTTTACTTTACATCTAGTCTAGGTAGCATTACTTAAAATCATTAAAAAAATCGTTATTGGCAATACAAGAAGACATTTAGTATTTTTATTTTCGTCTATCCTCTACTACTAGACTTAATGTTAATTTTCCTTATATGCAGGCAAAATAACTATTTGAAACTACCGCCACGAAGCGGCAAGTGATGAAACGTCAACCGTACCATTATGCCGTGAATCGCCGCTTGTATAGATGACACAAACGAGTATTTTTCAGGCACAGGTTCCATGTGTGACTGTTCCAAGCTCGTACCTGTTCCCAGTATCTGTGATTTTTTGTCACATGCTATTTTGGCCCATGATAAATATTGGTTTGTACCTGAAACCGGGCTGAAGCGTATTTTGAGTCCAGTCGGATTAGACTTTAAAAGGCCTGTTTTGGGCACTGAAAATATGATGATAAAAGATTATTGGAACTTGTTCGAAAGGATGTCAGAATATTGAGACTATCGTTTGTGCTCGCTTTCCGGCTGTGGAACATTGTTTATAAATAATTAAAAACAGTGCGAAAGCCCGTTTTTTTGTACATAATTGTTGAACCGTTGGTGCTATTGAAAAAAAGTTTTATCCTTTTTTTCAAGTATTAAAAATACCTATGATATCAGATACACTACATTAAAATCCGTTCATTAGTTTACCCAAAAATTTAAAAAAGGCCGTCGATTTCAGAGTTTTGTTAATTTTTAATAATTAATTTAGTTTTGTTTCACGAAAACACCATAACTTTTTTTGGTCAGTCAGTAATGAAATTTTCATTTACTGTACTTTGTAGTATAACTCTTGACCGGTAAAATACAGCCTCAGAGAAGTCTCTCCTACGTCTCAAGAAAAATGTATTTAGAATCTGGCAAGAGTCCTTTTTACATAACAAATAGGAATGAACAGAAAGTTATGAATTTTTGGATCCAAAATTTATACCACTTATAAAGGATACAGACACCTTCAAAAAAAGTTATAGTGCCAAAACCAAATTTAATTTAAAAAATTCTACTTTCATCTATTTAGTGCCCGGAAAAAATCTAATCTAATCCGACTGCACTAATTGTTCCATTGAAGGATATCGATGCCACTTCCTAGTAATTTGGGTGCGAATCTGCTGGGTCAGTAATAAATTATGACCGAAGACCGAATGCCTTTTATTCCTTTATGTATGCAAGGGCTGATGTTCAAAAAAAGTCAGAACATTTTTTTTGATTACGTTTTACCATTTTATCGAAACTTTATTTGAACACCAAAAAAGGTGACCACATTTTTTATCTTTCCCAGTTAAGGGCAGTAAAATGTGAAAAATCTTCTATTTTCATGCTAATCACTGATTCCAATTCATCTTATCGCTTAGATGAAAATTGGCCATTTAATACTTCAGCTATGTTTGATATAAACAAATATTGAAACATGCCCAGACTAGGTAAATAGCGCCTATACAAATTTGAATGTAGTTCGTCCACTACTCCACTGGACAGATGCAACCAATGCTATTTTACTTCAGAAGCACTGTTATTGGTCGAAAAAGATCAAGTTTCAAGGACAAAGAACAGCTCAGAATTCACAGGCCTGTCACATTAAAGAAAATATCGGAGACGGCTGTTACGGCTGTTCCCGATATTTTCGTCCCACTCCCATACATACAAAACCTTACCACTTCACGAGAATAAAATATCTCCTTTCCCTAAAACTCAGGCCAATTGACAATGCCGCGGGGAATCAAAAGGCATAAAGGCAGGTATTTGCCTTTTTGCTTTGTTGAAATATCGAAATCCCAGAGGTTGACTGGTACTGAGCGGCATTGTAGGCGAGCCCTGTTATTTCAAATCACATGTTATTTCAAATATCGGTCACAGGTACCGACTGTTCCATATCGATATCTGTTCCAAAATACCTGTGACAAGTATTTCGTGTCATCCCTATCCGCTTGTCTCAAACAGGCCTTTGGGACCCAATAGAAGCCAATAATTTCTATAGAGAAATTATCCAATTTTTGTATATTCTAATATAATACATGTTATGGTTGCATATTCTAATCAAATTTTCGAATAATTCTTCTCTGTTACTGTTTCCTCTTTTAAATAAATAATGATGTTTCTATAAATGCAGCTGTGGGAGACTCAAATTTAGGCGCAAACACCCACTTCTTCAAAACACGGTTTACACCATTCAATTTATTAAAATATGTTTCCTCATCTCGCAAATTTCACCTAAAATAAGAAAATAATATCTTGAAGTAGTCAGATTTTCAAGGCTTCTTTCTACTCCTCCCATATTTGACCTGGCATGTTCTGTTGCATTCAAGAACTGTGAAATTACAAAGCATTAAAAAAGCCTCTTCCCAATAGATTAATTTTAACATCGGAGTTTCTTCCTACGTTTTTCTATCAACATTTTTTGTAACTTAGGGGTAAGCAAATTTTAATCCCAATCATAATAGGAGTTTTTAGGCCCCTTAATTGCAACACGTTTGACTTTATTCGTTATTCTGAGCATGCGCATATGTAAATAAATAACCGCTTACGTTATTAGAGGATAACGTGTTCCTTTATTTACGTTCGAGTAGCGGTAACGTTAATAAGCATCACGTTAAAAAGCAGAACGACGATGTGGACATATTTGACTTATTTGTAATATTATTAATAAAATAAGCGGCTATAATAGAATAAGAAATGTTGTGTGTAATGTAAATTTAAATAAGATTTTTTCCTTGTTCATTTTTACGCCATTATTGAGTAATTACGGATTTTATGTGAAAATTATTTGGGCAAATTTGAACTTTGGCAATACTACTAACCTCACACGGACAGGTTCTAACTTCTAACTCATAACCTAACTATTCGATTTTGAATTTTTATTTTCCGTTCTTCGTTCCCCTAACCAATAGTGAAATGGACGTGGTAAGAAAAAGAATGCGTTTTTTTCTGGTATTTGAAGACAGTGAACCAGCCGCGGAATATGTTCCTTCTGAAACCTAAAATTGATAAGGCAATCTCTGGACTCAATATTTTCTAAACTAAAAATAGCTCTTCGGTTTGAAACAACAGTCGAAAATTAAGCCTCTTATTAAATTGTGATCCACATCTCCCTCGTCATTCCGGCGCAGAAAGGTTCAATGTTTTCTTCCAGCTTAGCCACTTTTTGTTTAATAACAATTCAAACTTAAACTAGCTTTGACGGGATAAGAAAACAATAAATTGAGGTTTATTTTATTGAGAGTGCGACAATCGCGGTATCAAAAACTAAAAAACTCACTTAACGTTTTGCCTGAACACCTTATTTTTTTAACATTAAAAACTCTCTAATATGTCCGTTACTGAGGCTTTAGAAATCATTTACACCAAACCGATCTGGGCCAGATAAAAAGGTTGAATCAAGATAATTTAATACTCGGTACTCGTATATGAAATCTAGTCGACCAGATAAACTCTCTCGTTGACACAGTTGATCCGTCAAAGAATATAAGCGATTGTTTGGTATGGCCAGACGGAGCTCCAGGAGACCATAATCGCAACGTTTTTTCAACCCCATTTGAAACAGATTTATTTAAAGAAGCTGTTGAAGACCAAGAATCGGATCCAATTGAATCTGAGTGAAAATAAAAAACCCGCATTCCAAGGACGTTTTTCCCGTGTGCATAACATTTCGAAGCATTTTATTTTAAAAAGTGATCAAACATTTGACGTTACATTGCAATAGTGATATCGACAAACAGCTCATATTTTGAAACAAAAAAATAAATCAATCTTATATTGGGCAAGTACATCATTCAGTCTCATACAAACTTGGATTCATTCACGTTTTAGTCCTAGTCATTTTTTTTGGAATAGAAAATATTATTTTCCAGTCTCTACGGGAATTAATTCAAGAAAAGAGACAGGAAGCAAAGAAAGATATCAGGGAACCATCCTTTGTAGATGATCCTTACGGAAACACTAGCGATTTTAAAGGCGTGTTTAGAAAAGAAACTGCTTACTGTTTTGTTCCAAGTGATGAACACTATTCACTTTGGGATGCGAAACATCCGGAAAACCCTCAAAGATCGCATGCAGTACATCAGGCGTAAGTCGTACTGTAGAAATATAGGTACCTATTTTCGAAAAAAACCGTTTTCAGAATATGAAATATTTCAGAGTCGAAGCAGTCTATAATAGATTGCAGGATTTAACAGATAAAACTACAGATATTGATGCAAAATGTTTATTGTCTTTAGTACATACACCAGAGTACATTTTGGAGATTGAACATCTCTGTAGTCAAGAATCTGAGTCTCAGGCAACTCAATACGACAGTATCTACTATAACGGACTGGTAGGTAGCCGTACACCTACCAAAATCAACTTTTTCGAAGGTTTTCCTTACAGCTGTCCAATAAAGCTGCTATAAATGCGGCGAAAAACACACTAAACATGGCTAAAATGGTGGCGGAAGGAAAAGTGCAGAATGGATTTGCTAATGTCCGGCCACCCGGACATCACGCAACTCCACACGTCCCAAACGGCTTTTGCCTGTACAATAATATCGCTATAACAGCTAAGTATCTGTTGGAAAATAAACTGACTGAAAGAATTTTAATTGTCGACTATGATGTTCATCATGGACAAGGAACGCAACGTATATTTTACGAAACGGACCAGTAAGAATTTTCTGTGGATATTGCTTCCAAGTCATTTCTTTGCTTGCTCTTTTTAGGGTTCTTTATTTTTCAATTCATCGATATGAGTATGGAAAGTTCTGGCCAAACTTAGAAGAAAGTAGCTTTAATCATGTGGGAAGTGGAAAGGGAACAGGGTATAATATAAACGTCCCACTTAATCAGACTGGCTTAACAGACTATGACTATCTTAGTATTATTCTCAACGTTTTACTTCCAGTTGCCTATGAAGTAAGTTATTGCTCAGTTATTTACTTTATTGTGAACATTTTTGGATTTAAGCTAAACAGAATATTTTATTTTAGTACAACCCTACAATAGTTTTAGTCTCAGCAGGCTATGATGCTTGTGTGGGATGTCCGGAGGTAATTATTTATTTATCTATTTTTATTTTCAGTATAATCCTGATCTTGTATTGGTTTCCTCTGGATTTGACAGTTGTACAGGTGATTTTAAGGTACACTTAACAGTGTCACTCTCTGTGCCGTTACTTCTGTGCCATAATTACATTTCAGGCTTCTAACATCAGATTTTACAATTTTTTAAATAAAATTATTGCTTTGACTGTAACTGTTGACATTTTAGGGTGAAATGAATATAACACCAGCATTTTATGCGCATTTAATTCATATGCTTGGAGGTTTAGCTGGTGGTAAAATGCTAGTTGTTTTGGAAGGAGGGTATTTTCTTCCCAGTTTGGCTGAGGGTGCTTTGCAAACTGTGAAAGCTCTATTGAATGATCCCAGTCCTCCTTTAGAGTACCATAAAAATATCAACAGCTCTGTAATTGATAGCATTAATAATGTTAAAGTGGCCTTAAGGCCATATTGGAAATGCTTTAATCAAGTCGATCCAATTAGCCCTATCACAGATATCGTTCGCTTCGATAGGTATGTTTTGAATGCTGGGAAGATTTGGTTATAATCCAATTTAATATTCTAGGTTCAATTATCATGTGGCTGTTCATAGATATTTCGGAGTTGTCCCAGAGCCTCCATTTCCGACTTCAGGAGGAAATCCCCTCAATAGTGAATCTTTGTTCTCTATGCATGACAGTAAAGTAGTCTATTTAAGAGGTAGTTAATTTCTAGTAAAAAAGTGGAAAATACAGTTTAATGAAAATTACAGGAAAATATAACAGTCTCCAGAATATAGTGGGATATATGGAAAATATTCATTCAGCCGGTCACGAGCCTGGTCCAGGGCTACGCATCCAGGAAGTACAAAAACGGGTTCAGGACATAATATCCAAATTCATTGAGTATGAACTGTTGAAGGAATTGAAACCAGTTGAATTTCATCACGTAAGTACTTATTTTGAGTTAAAAGTTAAGATATATTTACACTGAATTAAGAAACTAATTTTTCAGTACAGTCGTTTTTTTTAGAACTGAAACAAATCCGCATAGAAGCATAATAACAATACAATAATTTTTGTCAGGGCGTTTTAACCTATACAGGGTGTTTCATAAATAAACTCTGAATCGTTGCGGAGAGCTAGGGAATTTCAAAATTAATCATCGTTTGATTCATAAACAGATTTCCGACAACTAAGCATTTTTTTGCAATAAGGGAAGTAATTGCTCTATGAGCATGCCTCTGAAAATACTATGTCTGGTTTGCTTAGTGCCGCCGGCAACGCGAAAGCGACGAGTTGTTGATGCAAAGCCGTTCGGTGGAATCGCCGACGATTCTCCCATAGAACGAGCATGCGCAATATCGCTATCTTGGTGGCCTCCGACGTCTATTTTTGCGGTGATATTATTAATTTGGCATCTCAGGCAAAGTCCAACTTTGACTGAGACCCAGGAAAGATAAGAATATCGAAGGATAATAAATTGTATAAATAAGTCGCAAAATTACAATTTTATCTAAGAAGACATATTAGCGGTGAAAGCCGTTATTAGCTTTGAGAACATTTTGATTCCGAAACCTCTTTTCTAAACATTAAAAAAATGTAATGCAATAATAGCTTTGTTTATTATTATTATTATTTCAACAACACATCGTGCATATAAGCCTGAATTTTTCCATATCTCGAATATATCTGAAAATAATACAATTATTATTTGAATTGCATATCGTTCAAATCAACCGGTCTTTTTGGAAATCATAAAATATTAAATATACCTTTAACTATCTCGAACAATCCGACCGTTTAATTTTTTTGAATCTGAAACTGCATTTAAAATAAACCAAGTAGCTTTCCTCCCCTCCAACTGAATGTAGAATAATTTTTGTTTGCAAAAAAAAACCATTGGAGTACACCGTTTTTTTTTGAAAGTCTGAATTGTTAAGTATTGCGGTATTTTTTGCGGATAATCCAATGGTTTTAATTTATTCAATCAAAAAATCTGCATTTGATCAAAAGACCCAAAATGGCTTTGTGTCCGCAACTGAATGTAGAATTAGAGACTAATTTTTGTTTGCAGAAATACCATGGACGTAGAATATATTTTTTTTCTGGAGAGTATCAATTCTTAAGGGTTGCGGTAATTTTTTGGGCAATCCAACGGTTTTGAAAGAGTTTTTTGTTCCCAACTGAATGTAGAACTCAGAAAAAGATTTTGTTGGTTGGTAGAAAAACCGAAGGCGCGCACCGGTTTTTTTTTGGATTACATCAAGTGTTAAAAATAGCGTAAATTTCCTTCGATAATCCAACGGTTTTTATTTTTTAAGCATATAAGAGCTGTTTTATTCTCAACTGAAGGCAGAATCACAATTCAACACCTTCTGTCTCAAAATGCTGCGTTTTTGAAACAGTGTAACTGTATACAAACAGCAAAATATTCTTGTTCTTATGAGCGCTACAACCTCTCAAATTTTGTTGAGGTTCTGTAATTAGAACAGCCGTTACCGTTATAAAGTGCAATTTCAATTAAGTCAAAGCATTTTTTGCTGCAGGTTATTCAGGTCACATAATTTAGGAATGATCTCCTGAATACACCGCATCCTAAAAACGCTTAAATTATTTTCACACTGGCGAATGAAGCTAGTTGATTTTTGCATATCTGATTATTTTGGCCCTTTATGTAGGATCGAAGCTATCCATCAGTTGTGGAAGACGTTGAAAGGTTTCTTCAGCTGACCCATTCTGCTGACTACTTGGAAATGCTATGGTCTTCCGGCCCAAAGCCCCAGCCCGATCTGTACTGGGACACAAAGTCCAGAAAGGTACGAATTCATATTTTTAGTATTAATTCAGTGCAAATTTATTGCGTTCCCAGGCTTGTCGGTTTTCTTGTGCCGTTTTGTGCCAACTAGCATTAGAAATTAAACGCTCTTCAATAGCACATGGAGTGGGAATTGTAAGACCTCCGGGGCATCACGCAAAATCTAACAGCGGAGGCGGTTTTTGTCTTGTTAATAACGTGGCTGTGTCCGCAAATTACGCGATTGACTGTCTCGGTTATAAAAAGTGAGTTGATAAGTTACCACATAATTTATTGGCTTCATGATAATTGTAAAACTTACTCAGAGTTCTCATTATCGACTTCGACGTGCACCATGGAGACGGGACTCAAGAGTTGACTTATTCCAAGGACAATGTCATGTATATATCTCTTCATAGATTCGATGGGGGGAAGTTTTTCCCTAAAGACCCCGCTGGTAACTACATGTACGTAGGAGAGGAAAAATCAGCGGGATATAACTTAAATGTTGCATTTGAAAATGTAAGATGTGCGATATCGAATTATCTGCCCAGAAGTTTCACCCAGTTTCTTCATATTTTAGGCAAAAATGAGTGACGCAGATTACTTATATACCTGGATTAAAATTGTTTTACCTTTGGCCTACTCGTTCAATCCGGACATAATTTTTGTTTCTGCAGGATTCGATGCTGGCATTCATGACCCACTCGGTAAGTTTAATATATTAATAGGAATTTATCACCAAATGTAAGTTCTAGGCCACTATAATGTTCATCCGGAAACATTCGGCCACCTTATTCAGTTGGTCAAGTCGGTAGCTCCGGTAATATTAGCTCTCGAAGGCGGTTACAACCACACAACTACCTCTTTGGGTATGGTTAATTGTGTTAAAGCCCTTCTGGGGCATCCGCTGCCATTTCCAACCATAGGGGATGTTAAAAGAGAGGCTGCTCTTGCCATGGCTCAATCAATATCCGCTATAAAACAATATTGGCCGATAATGGAAGTTAACAAGAAGCTTGATCCAGTTATACGTAGTCAGAGTGATTTTGATGATGCAACTAAACAAATGTCGAAAATTGCAATTACTTTATAATTTTGTTTCGTTCGTAACTCGTTTTTAAACTCTGGTTTGCTTCCATCCTAATTTTGACTTGCAAACCTTACAAATTAATTTGTACGTTATATATGTTAATAATTTAAACCACCAAACTTGGCAGCGGGTAAAATTGCGCCAATTTTCTAGTTATTTTCTTGTTTTGAGTCGCATTAAAATCATATTTTAGCGGTTTTGCCAGTTGCCAAATATCCTTATCTTCCTACTAGCTGTGATACTAAAATTCATTTTAATAGAAAACAGCTCATTAGGTTAATATTTCTACAGGTACCAAAGGGAGTGTTGTCATAGAAATCTCACAACGCAACTAATGTTTTAATTCCTTAGAAGTAGCGTAAAGCTTTTAGCAATATAGGCGGTATTAACAAACTGCTCGATTTTAGAACTTCCATTTTATAGTTTGTGATATTTCCCAAATGACCAAGAAGAAGCATTTTCTTTTGTTCATATAAAAGAAACTGATTCTGTAGTCTGTAGTTGGCTCTTGCATTGATATTTTACTAGAAAGCAATTATTAGAGACGAACTGCTTCCATGTAATATTACATTCCAATGTTAACAAGATCGTTTTTATTTTTAAATAAAAGTTGGATTAATGTTTTTGGTTTTATATTAGTTTAGAAAATGCAACTTTACTTTTTTTTACAGAATGAAGAAAAATACGTTGGTTCACCAGTTTAATACCCCCAAATACATAATTCACGCAATCAGAAACCTACTCACAGACTAGAATTACGCATAGACAACACCCTCTCCTTTGCTTTCCCCCTGAACAAGGATCCCCGCGATCTCCCCTTCTTATCAGCATATACTGCCACAGCATATACAATCACGGTCTTCGCGACAAAAGACTCATTGACAAATCTGCGTACATACTACAATACGCCGACGACACTGCATTGATTGTGCACGACAGAACTACAGCAAAAGCTTGTTACATCATATACTTTTACAAAGGCTATATTTTTTGTAAAATTATATGGTTTACATAGCCGTTTAACCAGAAATGAGCTTCATCACCGAGACTAATTTTAATATGAAAATTTGGATTATTTTTTATTTGCACCAATTACTGAATTAACTTGTAATTGTTGTCGGTTGTAACGACCAAAAATTGGAGTTAGTGCACGTAAAGTTTGAGGAACAGAACGGAATTTTTGTTAATAAATGCAGATTATTTGTAAACGTTGTTGAAGCGTGAGCCTTTGAGCCATGAATAAATCGTAGACATATGAGAAGTGTCAATTTAAAAATGGGGCGTTTTCAAGGAAATAGTTTTTATATGCGTTGGTTCTTCAAAATAAAACAACTTCGATAATTTAAACTTTGTTGTTTAATAACGGAAAAGATACATCTTTTAAAAGGCACAACAATATAGAAAATACAGCGCAATATGTTCTTTTAAGTTTGTCGTCAAGTATTTATGAAGCACTAACATTCTTTTTTGTGGACAAAACATTTGAGGTTTTTCACCAATCGGTTCTGTGTTTTGGTAGTGCGGTGTAATACGTCTCTCCCCACCTAAGTTTATTGACGCCGTATTTCGACAAATAGAGTGAATCCTGGGAAGACTGAACTTATTATCTTTTCGCGCAAATTTACTAACAATAAAATCCTATCGCCACTCATGGTCCAAAATACTCCAATCAAACCAGTACAAGAAGTGAATACCTGGGATTCAAACTAATTTATTAATTAATTAATCAATAAGCATGTTGACCATGCTATACGAAAGACGTTCATGGCCCAAAGAAAGTTATACTCTCTTCTGGCTCCAAATTCATTTCCATCACCTCAAAACAAACTTCTGCTCTACACCTCCACTATAAGACCCATACCATACCCATACTGACCTACGGCTCCCCTATCTGACAGTCTATCAGTAATTCCACGAGAGGGCGTGTTCAAAGGACCCAAAATAGGTTCCTGAGAGGCGTTCTATTGGCTGACAGATACACCAGAATAACCGAACTGCACGAAGCTACAGAGCGAAGCTATAGAGGGTGTCCCACTGGGAACTACCACGATCGATCGTGGTGGCAAACTATAATTAGGATAAATTTGAAATTGAAAAACACACACTTGTGTGTGGATAAGTCTGGAGGCAAGCGGTCAAAAATATTTTCAAGATTACCAACTATGAACTTGCTTATTTTAAATACTACATATTATTACATTTTTGAATTCTACTCCAAGATTTAAATATATTTTATGTATATCATATACCTGATATAAGTCTAACCGTTTATGACATATTTGAAATTTTAAGTAAAAAATGACAGATGCCACTCGAATAATTATTTATTTTTCCTAAAAGGTAGGCCTGGGTAACTCAGTGAATTTTAAGGAGTTGGTGCAGTGCTGCGCAAATGGCTCGGTGCGCCAACCCCACGCACCGGTGCAGTAACAGTTCCGTTGCTGGGAAAATGTTGATGACTTTTTTAAACTTTTCTTAGATTGATTTTAAAGGCTTAGTAATATTTTTAAAATGTCTTGAAATTTCAGGATTTTTTTGTTTGAAGTTTTGAAATCCCTTTCCAGCTTGAATTTGGGTGAATTTGGAACAAAAATCGAACAATTTTTTGCCAAAAAACGAACAGAATAAGCGAAGGTTTATAACCGATTATTCGGAAATCTCGTCACCTCCGTTCCTCTGAAAACTGTAGAATTTGTTAAAAAATAGGTTTTTTTTTTTAGTTTTGACCGATTTTTTTTTTGCTTTTCTTTATACTTAAAAATGCTCTATTTTGTTGAATTTCACTTAAAAATACTGACGATCGGGAGGACTTTTACGGGAAAAATTACAAGATAAATTTATAGCTTTGTAAAAAATTTACAAAAACTTTTCAGGGTCGAATTCGGGACAAAAACGAACATCAATTCCTTCCATTTTTTCCCGAAAACCATTAAGATTTTCTCCAAAACCGATCACAAAACTAAAAGTTTTTCATCGCAAATGCAAAAAGCATTATTTTCTGATGATTTCCTTTTTTTTTGACAATAATGGGGTCTTAATGGGGTTAGTAAAACATGACAAAATTAATTTTGTTAGAAAATTTGCCCCATTCATCGGTTTGCATGGGACTTTGGAAAACCCTTTTCAGCTTCGAATTTGACACAAAAACCAAATAATTTGATTCAGTTTTTTATCGAAAGTAATTAGGACTATCTTAACAAAACGACCAGAGCAAAAGTTTACAAAAAATTATTGGAAAAATTCGACGCCCTCATCCCTCTCGAACTAAAGTTCTTTTAAATTTTCAGGCCATTCCAGTTTTAACAACGTTTCTATTAAGCAATTCTTTCTACGCAAAAATCGCATTATTTTTTAGTTTTACTTAAAATACTGGCAATCCACAGGTAGTTTCTGTGAAAAGTTATAAGATCAATTTTATTGGAACACTCGCCTCCTTAATAGCTTTGCAAATATGTTCGGAAAACTTTTTGCAGCTTCGAATTATGGATAAAACCCTAATAATTATTTTTAGGTCTTTTTCCAAAAATATTTCCCCGAACTGAAAAAGCGAAAGTTTATAATCTTTTATTTGGAAAACTCTTGGAAACTGGGGTTTCTTCACTTTTAGGTCAGTATTTCTAAACAACACTGCATCCGCGTTTTTGCTGACGTTTTACTGTGAAATACTGACAAACTGAATCTTTTATGCAAAAAAATGAAGAGAACGATTTTACAAGTAGACTCGTCGGCTTTCTTTGGACTCGTCACATTTTAAATAAATAATAAATAAGTTTAAATAATCTTCGTTTGTATAATTAAAGCGTCTGGGCATGAATACTAATTATTTTCAAAAGGCAACTGACAGCTGCAAGCACTACTTTGACATTTGGTTGTAATAAAAAATGACCATGGCTTTCGTCATGGCAACTAAGAATGACAGTATGTAAAAAAAGATGCGACAAAATAGCCATATGGAAACATGGGCGGTTTTCTCAACGTCATTTTGAAATGTATTTTTTTAACATTTTGTATTAATAGTTATCAAAATTATGTTGAAATTCAAATTAAAGTAAGTTCTGTTAAACAAGAAATGGGACTCAACTGAAGTAAAACATATTCCTTCATAGAAAAAACGAATAATTATTCAAATGGCTGTTATTCAACTGTCATTTTTTACATAAAAATTCAAATAACTGGTATGACTTACAGTATGACCATCTCGAAAACATTTTCGATTGCTTGCCTCCAATGACTTCGACACACTGACCAATTTTCAAATATTTCATCATTATAGTTTGTTAGATATCTATCGCGGCGGTTCCCGATGGGACACCCGGTATATACACCACCTCTGATAAATTTTATCAAAGAGGAGAGCAAGGCTGTGTCCTCACGCAGAACCTCACACAAGTTATAACAAACGATCGCCCTACCCATGGCCTCCTGCATACGCGACTTTTTATGAGGATTTTACCCCCTAACAAACCAACACTTCCAAAGCAGGACGCCGTTTCTAGCAGGCTGGAAACGCAAAAATCCAACATTACGCGACTAGTCTGATTCGTGCTTCCTTGCTCCGGCTGCTCTTTGCAATGATGAGAGGGAGGGGGCGTGGCCTATGCCATTTACTGATTGAGGCCGCCAGCGGGTTACACTACGGCTCACATCAAGATTAAAGGTCTGAGCAAAATGGGTTTTTGGCCTCTCTTCAGGAAGATCTTTTTCCTTGCTTGGCGTTTGGCCCTCGAATAAATTCAAAACCGCCACTTCAAGATTATCTTCTGACGTTGTCGTGCGTATGGCTAGCTGGGAATGTCCATGTTACGGCACTGCTCAGGTAATGGACGACTTAGCGCGCCTATTTAGATCATAGACAAAAGGAGCAACCGGCCTTGGCATGTTCTATCCTTGTATGCATTACACCAATGTAAATATTTAGCTCCCAATTAATTTGTTTCAAGTCAAAATAATCACGTAGATCACCAACAACAATCGAAAATTGTATTGCGCGTTGAAACATTAAATTATCACTTCTGTATATCACAGAACTACATTATTGGTGTTTTATCTAGACAATCAATTCTAGGCTTGATCAAGTATAATTTTAAGATATAAGTATTAAAAGCGCTTTTAGGTATCAGATACCTAAAATATATATCCAAAAATATCAAGCATAGATAAGAATTTATAAAAGGCACATGGTTAAATAAACTTTTTGGAAAATAATAACTACAAAAATGATTAACTAGTTTGGCAATGTTTAGTAAAGACATATGTCTATTTAATTCGCATCCACCATACATTCCGTCATAATACTGATTCTATTCAAATATGCGAAACTAAATAAAAATATTGTCTTTCCTTGAGGAATGAAGTCTTTCTTGCACCCTGTAGATGTGAAGATAACAGGTATTTTGAAACTTCCAACGTTAAACAATTCTTCACTCTATTTTTGGTCAAAGAAGACTAGTTAATTCACATAATAAAAGTATGGGGGTATGCCTTCATATGTTTCCCAATTTCATATTCTACATTATCACCTAGAGAAAAATCTTGAAAAAATAGCTTCTTTTCAATTAGTTTAAGTGGAAATATATAAAAGCATACATAGAACAATAATAAACTCAAATAAAATTTTACTAAATTGAACAGAACCTTTTACTCTTGAAAGGTTGTGTTCAAACTTTCTTTGCCTACAAGATCAGTAGCAGGCATGGAAGCTGTCGGATTTGTTGCTTGCCCATTGGTAGTGCTGTGAATCTGAAATAAAAATAGCAATAACATATTTTATCCAATAAATTCTCTGTGAACTTGCCTCTACACGGGCAACTTTCCGATTTCGTTCAGAGTCGTTGTCAGATTTTCTGCGCCTTTTCTTTCCACTTAAAGATTCTTGTCCACTATCTTCATTGGAATTGGTGTCGCTGTCATCAGAATCTGAACTTGAACTTGATGAATCGCTGGAGCTATCAGATGCCACACCTGCCAAAAACGTTGCATGGAGATTTGCCTTATAAAACATTTGTTTGTAGATACCTGAAGGTTGCTCTAAGTTAATTTGATCAGCAATCGCAGCCAACTCTGGTTCATGTACGCGCAATTGTTTTAACCACTTTTTCGATAGTTTTGGCCGCCCTCTTGCTGTTTTATGCCATACCTAAGTTTATTGCTCTATTTTAGTATATGCTAATTTACGAAACTCTACATTTCTTACCACAGCGAAGTTTGTTCTGCTGCAAAAGTTTTGAGTAACTGCTATTGTAGTATCCAGATTAAGTACCACATGCCACCACCCGCCAGGAACAAAAACAGTCTCTCCAGGCTTTTGCAAAATTTCGATCGGTTTGCAGTCTTCAGGCCAAGTTGGTTCTTTTGTTTTTGGATAAATAATACTGAACCATGTGATAGCCTCGTCTCTCTGTTTTCCTCCTTGCGGACCCGTTACTTTCAGCAGCTCCTTCGGAGTATGAGTGGGAAATAAACACCACCTATGAATAATTGATAAACACCTCAACATATTCTAGCGTAGGAAATAAGTTGTACCTCTTATGACCTACTACCAAAGCATTCCAGGCACTTGTTCCCAGAGGGTCAATATGGATCCCGGTTCCAGACCTGGCGGGCCCCATTACAAACCATCTATATGGCGGTCTACGACCTTCACCTGAGTACTTAAATAAATCATCTCGAAAATATAAGGGCACTTCATAGTCTTCTAAAAGTTTTCTTCTTCGGCGATGCTAAAATTAAAATTACCATCAAACCGGTCGCGAATATATATTTACAGGGTGATTCGAAATTAGCCTGTATAATTTTCACTGCATATTTTCCAATCAGAATTTTGCTTAGTTATTTTTATTTCATTCATACTTTGGACATAATGGTGTCTGCCTGAGATTAAATTATATTAACATTAAACTTGAATTTAAAATTTGATCAAAATCTGTTGTAATATAATAAAAACATCAGTACAGAAAGTTTTGTAGCTTTTCTGATGCAGAATAAGTTGTTTATATGAATTGGAAAACATTAAACATGTTCTTTTTTCTCAAATTTATTTTATAAAATGTGGTCATAATTTTGTATGTAGATAAAACTTATGTTCAAATTAACCATCTTTAAAATTTTCATTATATATCAATTCGTTATTAAAATAAAACCTTTTACTTTTTGTTCGAACTGCTTTTTTTTGGAAAAGTACCCTAGGCAGTTTTTTTCAATAGAAATGTACATACATTAAATTATCTACCGTTTTGTGTCGCACTGAGTAGATACTCAGTTACCACCGTGTATACAGGGTAGTTTATGTAGACCGTGCATTAGAAGATAGTCACAAACTTCAAATTTTGTTTCCGGTCATAACGAGTCGTGCCGACACCATGTAAAATACATTTAGCCCTGTAGCTATACAGGGTGTACGAATGTGAACCAACCTCGTTTTGTTAACTTAATTCATATAGTTCTTTTTGTATGTCAATTGTTTAAGGCAAAAATGCCATTACACATCTTTACGGATCAAGATATATCTTAGGAATGGTTCTAAATTCAAAACCCAAATTTGGTAAGTAGTTAGCTGAAAGGCCAAGCTATCTCCCCATATGACTTTAAGGTACCAATTTTGTGGCATGTGGGTGCATGCAGCATATTATCTTAAAATAAACTAGACGTTAATATCTGCAACTTTCGCAATTAATATTTTTTCCTTAAATTGTAAGTTTGATGTAAAAACGGGATTGCCAAGGTTCAATTAATAACCCTGTAAATACATATCTATAAACCGAACGTGCTGAAATCATATATATCATTTATTATGTATTCTGTAATCCGTAAGTTTCGATGAACCGAACCGGCTCTGCAAACTTTCTGTTCGGATTATCCATACATTACTAATTATTATTTACTATTAGTGTGTGAACTTACTTCGCCAAAATTGCTATCAAAAATATATAAAGGGCTATCATCATCTGTTTTGAGCATATAATCAATATAGTACTTCATTTTCATCTTGACGCTATAACCTTCATTGTCTTCGCCACATTTAAATTTTTGGTTTCGATATTTTTTGGCCAGTTTCTCAAGGGTCCACTTGCAGGTAGCTTTCCATCCGATCTGGCTTCCAGATAATACTACCGGCTTGTTTGGGGCTTCATATTCACTAATAAACTGGGCTTCTGTATATCGGGTTTGGTCAATTCTAGGACAATTGTCCGAAAAGTTATGAAATCTCTCGAAACAGTCGGCATAGTTTTGTTGAGACCACAACTCGTTGGTGTTTAACTCTGTAAGATTAAATGGGTGATTATTAAATGGCGTGGTAGGTTATGTACGAGCCCCAAAAGCACTGTATTGGGGCGATAATCTAATTAATTTGATACAGTACACTGTGTATGTAATAATTTGTCGATAAAAACTGTTTACTAAAACAAGAAAGCCAAATTCGAGGAAAAACTGTATTTTTCCCAAACATTTTGAGGTTATTTTTCATCAACTAACCTGGTCGTGCCTTTTTCTTCACTTCCCTGATGCGTCTTTCAACTCTAGAGTTAAATTCGTTATCATCCATTACTTGCACACTGAACTGATTAAAAAATAAATATTTAAGAACAAAAAATTATTTAAAATCTAAACGAAGAAGCCCAACAGCTCAGTTAATTCCGAAATGTGACATATTTAACTGGCAGTAGTGGCAGTCGTGACGAAATGCAATGTCAACTCATAGGCGTTCCCATTTTAGGCGATTATACAGTGATGTAGGGTAATTTAAGTGTAACCCTTGTGCAGTGATTACGTCATTCAGGAGTGGAACTGTCGTTGATATTTGCGCTCACTGATTATTTTTTATAATTGTATAACATTTTTAAAATTTTTTTTTGTATAAATAACTTTAACTACGCGTTATTAAATTGCAGAGGTATAAATAATTTTTTATCAGAATTTTTTATTAAAAATAATTAGTTAACTAGAAGAAATAGGAACAAAAAACTTATTTTTGCAGTTTAATGTGCGATCTTTAAATTTGAGGCTGGTTCAAGCGATCAGAAACAAAAAACAAATCATCAGTCTGACTTTCATTTATTCTGAACAGGAAATACCATTAACAATATTTACGATAAAAGTTCCCTTAGAACTTCACCGAAGATCTTCAATTCAACCGTCAAATGGAATTACTTTCTGCTTACGACATGTTTCTACATAAATTTCAGCATTCTTGACCTATGGCGCTCAGTTTATTTCCTTTGAAGATGGCCTGCAATTTCGCCCAGTGAGTTTATGTTTACTAGATAACTCGATAACATTAGAAACATTTCGAATGCAAAAGCGGATAATTTGATTTCACCGTTTCATTTGCTTAACGACTATCCTTTAAAAGACATTCATACGAATTTGAGTAACTCAACTATACATATAGGTACATATAGATACTTCTAGATCTGGAACCCCCCCGCCCCCCCAACGTAAAGAACCGTAAATTTGCGCAGGTAACTTTTAAGTATGCAATGGAAAGGAATCGACATTGTGCATTTGAACGTATATCCTTGACAGTGTTAGTGAAAGTTAGTGATGGAAGCATTCCGCTGGATACTTCAATCCAAACTTTGTTGTGTGAGGTTCGGTTACTTTTGAATTCTCGTAACGACTGGTTACTTTTGGTTCCAATATGCATTCCTTAGGATCCGTTATTCAAGTAGGTTCTCGTTCCAGTCGTTAGTCTTACGAAAGTCCTGTATTTATATACTACCTCTAATCAAACGCAAATCTACGTAGTTGAACCAGGGATTCGTCTAGTACTAATCTCTGGCAGGAGCGGATCCAGCTTTCTAGTCAGGGGGGGGGGGGCAAGCAGTAGAAATTCCGTCTTTTGTTGTCTATGAAATTAGAAAAATTCTCGTTAGTCGTTAAAAACCCAGCACAAGTCTTTCTCTAAAAAATAAAAATATGGTATTAATTGATGAAATCTGGTTCGTCAATTTTAAAAATATTTTCAAACTGAAAGAGTTATTTTACACTATTATCGTCCTATTTTTTGAACAGTACATTTTTTCTCAAAAAATATGTATTTTGATGTTTGGTCTAATATATCGTTAGCTGCTTTCCTGATCCAATATCGACATTCTACATGCTGTTCTATGTCATACGGAAAATATTAATTGTAACTATTAAAAATTTCCGAAAGATTGATCGGAAAACTCTTGTCAAAATCAAGTTATGTATTTAGTAGCTCAAAATGATTCCGTGAATTACGAGTGTACCATTTAGCCAGAGCCTATACACCGAATATCAAGCTCAAATGTTGCAAATTTTCATAAAAATCGATTTAAATGACTGATTAGAAGGCACGCATTAAATTTTGTATAAAAAGTCTAATGCGCCCCACGATCGGATTTGTTTACATTTGGCTGAGAAACCTGGTTTTCCGCGATCATCTAAACGAGTTAAGACGTGAAACGTGTCTGAAAATATTTCCGTGTGAACTGGCACTTTTCACAAAATATCTAACTATAAAAAAACTAAAATCGAACGGCAATATAAAGCAATGACTCATCCAAATGGCGAAAAAGCAAATGATTGTATTATCATGTTGGTTCTGCAGTTCGATGCCTTAGAAATGCGGCAAACATTTCGATATGGCATGAGTTTTTTGGAAAAAGTGTCTGAATATTGAGTTTATTACAGGCAATGTACTAAATAGGTAGTCAGTCCTTTCCGTCGTGTGAATCGCGTTCTTAGATGGTACATATAGAGTCATTGCGGCTTTTTCGGCAAATGTAGTTTATTCTGCTTCCTAATTGTAGGAATAAAGTTTTCAATTTGGAATGCATTTTATTGTGTGATCATGTGCAGTCTGAAAAGTGTATAACATGGAGGTTGGAGCACCAGCTTGCAGAAAGCTGGTAAGAATGATGTCTAATCTATAAATCTCTTAGCTTGGACTGAGTTTAGATTTTCAAAGCGCAACTGAAGGATTGGTTAAATTGCTATTTCTTTGCTTTAATATTTTGAAATTTTGCTTTGGACTGGAAAGATTTGCTTTGGACCGATTTTCTGCTATATTGAACACATTTTCTTCATTCTTTCCAGGTGGCACGATGCAGCTTTCGGTAAGTTTGGCATTCTTTACTAACAGCTAACAGTTTGGTAATCTGTTATTATTTTGGTGTTGATTGCCATGTAGACGTAGAGCTTTTAGCACCACAGCTTACATATCATATCAATGCTGCGTATTATATATTCGACGAGGAACGACCAGAAAGTTTCTGAATTATTCGATTAGTGTTATTTCTCGATAGTTTCCGTCACTGAATGAAACATAGCTATCGAATAATTCGAATAAATTACAAATATCGAATAGTTTGATGTTGATAGTTTTTATTCGATAATTTCCATCACTAATAACTCGTAACCGGTTGTCGTAGCAAGAAATGCAATATATTTTTCATTTGGAATGCAACAAGGAAGTTGGAAAGTAATTCAAATAATTTAAAAATACAGTAACGTAACATTTTTTCCTTGGCAATTTAGGTAGCGTGCAGGTACGCACGCCACTGACAAAACTTAACAAAATCATTTCCTTGCAAAACATGCGTCTTTCCTAGCTATTCATCGAAGGAAAATTTTGTTGTGTTCCCATCGTTTCGAACAATAGTTCGATATTATTTTATAGCCAGGCGCAAAACTTTTCACTTCTACTGGAAATTTCCTTACTCAGCTCAAAATTTCGGATTCAAACTGAAGTTTTTGATAATGTGCACAAGATTTCAACTTCGGGATGGGAATTTCCTCATCACTCGTCAGAGGTTTTCACAAATTTTGGGTTTATCTCCCGAAAGTTCCTTTCAAATTAGTTCTTATAACTAATAAAATATTATCGACTGGCAATAGATATAAGAATGCAGGTTTTCCTATTTGTTCTTGTATGTTTTTTGGTCTGGTTTTTCGAATAAAGAAATAGTTCGACCAAATGATCAAACACCGGKCTTTGATGATGAAAATCTGAGTCTGAACTCGAGTTTTACAAGGCAAACTAAACAAAACCCTACTTACTTTTGGACTGGGCCTTTCATGCCTTCTTAAACTGTTTTTTCTTGTTATACGGGTTGATTCAAAAGCACCCTGACAAAGTTCAGGAGATGATTGTTGGCATTACCTTAGGGTAAAAACTTTAAATAAGTGATGGCATTTAAAGATCCAAAAACATAAAAGCTTATCAGTATATCGAAAATCGTTTGATATTTTATTGTTGTATCATAAATATTAGATAATTATTACCGATGTCAATAAATGCAAAGTTTGAGTTAAAATAGCGGTTGGTGTGAGGATTCAAAGATGCGCATAAATACGATTTAAAAAAATTCTTGAAAATAATGCGATGTAGAAAAGACACCCTGGATAGATTTTCTGTTTGGAATTGAACAAGCAATGAAAGAGTGACAGTTTTTTTTTTTGATAAATCACTGGCACACCATTTTTTTTCAAAAACGTGCCATATTTCTTACATACGCGCGACAATGGACGGCAAAAAAATCGTTCATTCAAT